TCATTTATCCTCCTATACTCCATAACAGACTAATTTTTCTTAAGCAGACAGAATTTAAATGTATAAATTAGCTTACAGTCAATGTGTACCCTATTATATCAAGAATTGTCATAATAAAAGGTTAATTTTTAATGAATAATCCCTAATTTAGAACTACACTATGGCATTTAAAATCTAATTAGTCTACCCTTTTTGCCATGGATAGAGAAAAAAAGATGAAATTAGCAACTGAGAAGAAAGCAATAGAGTATTAACTGGTAGAGAACTGGTAGAAATGACTACTTTGTATGCTCCAATAGTATGGTCAGATCAAAAAGGTATAAAAAGAACAAAAAAAATACGTAGTCTGAATGAGTTATAGTAAAATTCAATTGAGGCAAGAAGACATTGAAAATGTATTTCCAAAAATAAAATAAAAAACAAAAAGCAAAAGAAATGAGGACACAAGAGAGTAAGAAAGGGAGTAATGAATACGAGCAAAATCTGAAGGGATTTTAAACAGAGGGCATATAATTTGGAATAGTCTTCATGCATACTGTCTTCCAGGAGCAAACATGTGGGAAACTCTCCCATTTGGGCTTCCTCTAGTGAAATCCAGTAGGCTTGCACTGAAAGGAACCTTGGACCAAGGTAGCATGTATGTATTGTGTCCCTCAATGTAGTAGGTACCAGAATAAACTGAAAATTTCAATTACTTACAAACGCTTCCTGGAACTATCGCTTAAGCTCCTGTGATATCAGCAAGGGTAGACAGGGATCTCCAAAAACATTCCCCATAGGACTGTAGAAATGTGCTTAATTCTTTGTAGACTGTGCAAGATGCTTGAACGACCTGGAGAGACAATGACAGATCCCACACACTGAGCAAGACATGCAATAGGCAACAGAAAAACTGAAGAGGAGTCTGTCTGAATTTCTACATGCCTCGGGAGCTTAGGTGTCTGTTTCAGAGCTGAGTCTTAGGCATCTGTATCCACTGGGGAATTAAAATACTGAGACTACTTCTGAGCTAATACGAGGGTTTTTTGCAGCTTTCACAGTTGCTGTTTGAATGTAAAATATGAAACGAATAAGAAAATGCTGCTCCTTGCTGCTGTTCTAAGATGAAGAACTGATTTCTTTAGACAAAAAGGGTGATCAAGGTGGATGAATCTATTATTTTAATGTTACAGCTTAAAATTTCTTGTGGAGGACACTAATAACTTATATATTTGACATTAAGTACAATAAAGAGTGAAAGTTGACAGACATTTCAAGTCAGAAACCAAACAGATGCTTGGATAAAGAATGGATGTTTTCATTATAAACTCAGATGCTCATCCTGTAAATTGTTAGCATATACAAATGTTTGTGTGACAAGTAGCAAGTATGAGCAAAAACTACTGATTTTTGTCATGGAACTTCAAAGGATAGGAATTCTTTCTCTCCTAGCTTCCCATATAAATTTTTACATAGTAGCGCAGATACTGCTATCACTGTTACTATTATCAGTATTATCATCATATTTCCATAGTTACTATCAATCCTACACAGAGACTCGAACCACTTTGTAGAAGGTGCTGTAAAAAGAGCAAAAGTTTTCCATGAGAGTTTATGATCTGAGTACAACAGCAGAAGCGAGAGACAGAACTAAACATCCTGCAGATTAATACGATCATATAGATACAATTTTGTGGACTTCAATACTTCAAATGGTGATTACTTCAAAATGTTCAAGTAAACAACCAAGCTGTTGAGACATGTTTCAACACAGCATCTTCTACCAGATTCAGAAAATAACCAGTATCTTAACTCTAAATTGAGCCTGCTTATCTTTGCACCTTCCTAGCATCAAGGGACAAAGGTAGTTTTCAAACAAATGTATTCACTAGTACAGGGTAAAAGGCAATAAATATACTTCTAAAAATCCTCCAAGGGCTTCAGTCCTTCATACTTAGGCAGGGTTGCAGGGAAGGGCACCAGTTCTGAACACACAGAAGCACCTTACTCTCTTATCCTCTGATCTCAAGAGGAGAGCTATTACTCATACCTAATCACAGCACTCAGATAAATCTGTGTCTTTCTTGAAAGAGACAATATGCTGTCAGGGGCTAGGTAAGAGGCACCTCCTTTAAATTTTGTATAGATCCTCGTGTATGAAGGAGGTGATAACAGTCCCAGAGCAGTTGTTGAATCCACTAGTCTTGAGGTAGACCAACTAGAATTTTTTGCACCTTAAACTTACGCAGCTTGAAGATTTCCAGAAAAACTGCAGCTCTTTCACAGTCTACCTCTACTGCTGAGCTAGGTACTCAGAACAGGTTAGTACATCACAGTACAGTGAAAAGTCCTGAAATAACCATAACTGTATCTTTGGAAGAATAAGCTACTATGAGCTCGCTATGTTCAGGTGAACCCATGCTGTCTGTATAACCTATTCCCATATTCCCAACCTTCTTTCTTGGGAAGCTTCTGTTACAGCTAAGCATGAAGCCAAATAAATACATAAAGAAATAAAAGACATAAGCAGTGTAGCAAGTGAGGGGTGAAGAGGACAGGTGTGGAAGGAGGTGATGAGCTCAGCGATTTTCATGATGGCACAAATGCCACAAAACCTAACTGATCTACCTGTAAGCCTGCTTATAACAAAACCAAGTGACTAAATTTATGCCTCACTCATTGCTTATCCTATGGTACAAACAGTCTGCCTTCAAAACCACATGAATGCATAGTCACTCACTAAAAAATAGATGAGATTTCTTCCAAAATGTTATAGCTGCCATCTATAATATGGTAATTCATTTTCTGTAGAAAAGATTCTTATGCTCAGGTTATTACTGCTTTTAAGTCTAGATGATCAACATATCAGATTCACTGTCCCAGTGATTCAAGCATATTGTGAATATTTTGCTTGCACCAATAACTAAAAATCACATTGTGGTTGGACAAACCCATGTATATTACTGTAAGCAAGTAGGCACATATTTCATTTGTTCTAGGTTGTTTCAAAAAACTATTCTTTTACTCTCGTAGCAAAATATATATGAATATAACTAAGGAAAACTACAGTTTATAAAGGTATACTTGCCTGAAAATACACAGTAAAGATATACAGGGAAGACTTGTAGTGTTCTAGCAAGTTGAATGTTCTTAAAGTAGTTCCACTTTCCAGCGTGTCATTCCTGCTCTGTATAATCTTTTCTGCAACAATTTAATATGATCAATTGCAACATTTTGATGAATTAAAGCAGGATTTGTATTTTTAAAAGAATGACTTATTTTTCCACTAGTTTTCGTCTAACTCAGAAGTGTACTCATGATTTGCAGAACATTATTTCAAGTTCAGATAAATATGGTTCTAGGAAGAAAAAAAAACAACATTAAAAAAACATGTTTCATGACATACAAAATGGTGCGGTCTGCACATCTTTCACGAAATATTTCACAATTTGCTTCCCATTTTGATTGCTTCATAATGATCAAAAATCAAAGACAGATAAAACTCAGAATCAACCTGAAAATGCTGATCTTTTAAATGCTCAGGATATTCAGCAGTTATAACTGACTTGAGAAGCAGCTCCTCAAGTAACTCCAAGGATCAATACGTTCAGCTCCTGCAAAGAACACACTAAACAACTACCATTAAGCACTATTAGTTTTGCCAGTACTCCAACAGCACCTGGAAGTCCAGAGTGGCACATGATTTTTATCCAGGAAAGGGCTGCTGAAGAATCATGCTTCAGAACTCCAGCAACAATGTTTGAAAAATAAGTATAACTAAGTATCTGTACTCATGTTCAGCATTTCCTCCTCTCATTTCTGCAGTGAATACTTCCAGGACATCCTTCAGCATAAAATAATAATCTTTACTCCAATCTCACATATCCCATCTCATATCTCAGACATTTTCCATTTAAGGAAACGTAGCCAGGGTTGGTTTTTGTCTTCCTAATTTGTAAACCATAGCTTTTTCTCATTATCAATTTCACTCCATAGTTCTCAAATCCTGTTTCCTTCAAACAAACTTTCCGATCTCCAACTCCCCCAGCCTCCTATGGATGGATCTGCCCGTGCTCCTTCGCTGTCCCTCACAACCTGTCGTGCCCAGACATGTGAGGAGCGACAGAAACCCCTGGTGTGTTCAGTCCAGAGCAGAGGAGCTGAGGGGAGGCCTGATGGCGGCTGCAGCTCCTCACAGGGAGCAGAAGGGCAGCGCCGAACTCTGCTCTGTGTGACAGCGACAGGGCCCGAGGGAACGGCATGGAGCTGCGTCAGGGGAGGGCAGCTGGGGGTGAGGGAAAGAGGGGAAGGGTCTGCACCAGAGGGCGGTGGGCACGGAACAGCCTGCCCAGGGCTGTGGGCAAGGAGCTCAAGAGAGCGTTTGGACAGCGCTCAGACTTCGGAACTGGATTTTCGGTGGAGCCAGGGGTTGAACTCCATGTTCCTTGACGGTCCCTTCCAACTCGGGGCAGTCTATGATCCTATAGTTGAGTCTTCCAGGAAACAGCTCCCAAATTCCCAAATTTCACTCTGCCCCGCCCTTGCCCTTCCACCGAGATGCGCGACCTCACGCTCCCAGCCTCGCACCTTCGTTCCCGGCGGGACAGGAGCGCCCTCCAGGGGCGCCGGCTGCTCCGTGCCCTCCCCGCTGGCATTGTGCCGGGCTGCGCCGACCTGCTGCCGCCGCGCAGGACTGGGCTACGTGCAGAGCGAGCGCTGTCGGAGCTCGGAACTGTCGGCGGGAAGGGCGGCAGCTCTGGCGACGCCTCTCCCCGCTGCCGCCCGTCCCCCGGCGGCGTGGGGAGGCGGGCGGGGACAGCCGGCTCCCGCCCCCTGCTCGGCCTCCTCTCCTCCCGCCTCCGCGCCTCCTTCCCTCCCCGCGGCACCGCCGAGGCTGCGAGCGCGGCGCCCGTTCAGCGCCCGCCGGGACGAGGAGGCTGGATGAGGACTTGCGTCCCGGGGCGTTCGGCGGCCTCTCGGGCATGCGGCGGACTGCGGGGACTCTGCCCTGCCCTGAAGCCGAGCGGGGACATCAGGTAACTGCTCGCCTCGCCCCATCCCGGCCCGGCCGGAAAGTTGCCTGCAGCCCCCCGGGTGAGCGGCGGGGCGAGCCGCGGGCGCCGTCCGGAAGGGTGCGGGGCGGTGCGACGGCGGCTCGGGCGGTTCGTGCTGCTGTGCGCTGCGGGCGGGGGGAAGGGAAAGGAAGGGGTACGGGGGGACCGAGCTGGCAGCATTGGCGCTGCGTGCCGGGCTCTGCTGGCTTCCCCTGCCAGCCTCGCTGTGCTTAGGACAGCCGACAACAAAGTAGCGCGCCGCAGGAGAGTTCGGTGCGTTTGTTGGGCTGTATGGCATAGCCCCAAATACGCTGTTTCTTTTGAATCCCGTTCTGACGAGGGCTTTCCGACGGGACCTTTGTGGGTTCAGCGTAAACTTCCAACAAATGTGTGGATTTTAACTAACACAGTGTGAGGATAAATCCCACTCCAGGTGTTCCACAGTGGTGCCTTGCTCACCTTTTCTCATGGTTTGTATCAGAGGCACTGAGATTTTTTTCTTTATTTCTTCTAAAATCATTTAAAGAATAGGTGAGCAGAGAGCCCCACATAATCCGGATGCCTTTGCTACGAGCTGCAAAACTGACACTGGATCACTTTAAAGCAAGAAATAGAGAGCATCAATACTTTCAGAAACCTGCTTTCTTACCAGCCCAAAGTAATGTACACTGCAAAATGCCCTGAGGGTGAAAAGATTTCCCGTTTCAGAAGTGAGAAGATCCCCCTCATCACTAGTGTTCTGCACGTACTGCATGGGTTAAATTAGAGAGAATCAGAGAGAATCTGCCTCAAGGATTGTATCAGCTGTAGCAGGGAATGTTTTACTTCCAAATCTCCACATTACACTGTGCCAGTGTAATGCCACAGTGTTTGTTGCAAAAGCCAAAGGAAGTAATCAAATGTAATGAGCTTAATTTCACTAGATTATAATATAATGAGTTTTGGACCAAATTTAGGAGATCAAAAGTAGAACAGCTTGAGCATCGTTCATCTGTTACTGCAGGTAATCCCAATGGTTATGCATAAGGCAGTACGTTTATGATGATTTTCAGATTGATGGTAGTTTTTAATAAGCACAGTTATTTTCCCTAAAAAGCTCCATGACCCAGCACAGCTTTGGGGCTACTGCATGTATGCTCAGTTCTTTCATTAATGGACTTTTATACTGTATTAAACTAAGAGAAGTTTGAATAAGTGAAAGAACTACAAGCATAGGTAGAACATGAAATGCTTTCCACCTTTCTGCGTTTTGTGATGCCTTCTGGTGTTTTTTTTCGTTGTTAACTTCAAACATAACTTCTCCCTGAGTTCTCATGCAAGTGGAAGAATTTCTTAAATGTGTGAAACAATTTTCTATTGTCAGATATTCTGTAGCTCTTACTTCCTTAAAAAGATAAATACAACTTGGGAGTTATCATTTTTCTTGACAGCATGACAGTTAAAGCTTGGTTTGCATAGCGGCAGGCACGTGTGGTGCATTAAAGGATATCATTCTGAACTGTCACCGAGTAACTTTTCAATGCGTTTTTGTGAATGTATTGCTTGTAAAATGACGGCTTGAGTGTAACTGAGTGTTAGGATGAGGAATTATGTAGTGATATGAGATCTAATTTAAGATTTCGACTGTCGTATTTATATTGCATTCCTGTGGATTTAGTGCTCAATCCTGTAAACAGGTATTTTATTAATTTTCCTCATTTTGGTGTCTCAGTTAAACTCTGAAAATGTACTGTTGATGTGGAGTGCTTAAGCTGCCCAGAGGTGGAGTGTGCAATTTTGCCTTTTTATATCATAGTGAAGAAAATGCTTCATTTGCTGATAACCTTTCTGATAACGTGTCCAAATGGCATGTAATTGTTGCTATTTAGAAGCTGAAGTCATGTTAGAAGTTGTGAGCTTAAACATTTCTGTGTGCCAGGCAAGCGTTGTTTGACAGTGTGTGAAGCCTTAAGCATTGAAAATCGGCAGGTGAACTGAGGAAGGAATATAACATGCTGTTAAGGTATGGGAATGTGGGAAGTTTGGGAAAGAGCAGTAAGTCAGGAGTTTGGGGTTTTTTTGGATGGTGAATTTTTTACATAATAACTAAGTTAATGCCTTTTGAAAATAATACATACCTTGAGGATGAGAGGTAAAATGTATACCTGGACATGGAGGAATTTGTGTTTACCCAAAGACTGTATTTGCGCTTGTAATTTTTTTGTGGTGGGTCTCTTTCCGAACTTCTTATTGCTATACTCTGAAGTCTTCTCCTGGAGACTTCTCTTAAAACAACTTAGGAAGTTTGTTACTTCATTGGTAAGCCTGTCTGGTGCGGTTGGATTCGGTAAATAGTGATGAAATTAGTTCAGTGAGAATAGTGTTTCTGTAGGAAGAAGAGGCTGTTAAGAACTGAAATACCAGTGAGAGAAAGTTTTGTCTTAGCTATGAGTTCAGCAGCTGGGTTTTGAGGAGCACATACCATAGATCTGTAGAAAGTGAACACCACAGCCAGCTCTTGGGAAAAGATTCCTTCTGACAGCCACAACCAGACAACATTCCGCTGATAGCCCAGTGAGCTCTTAAGCACTGGGACAGGCTCCCAAGGAGGTGGTTGAGTCACCATCCCTGGATGTGTTTAAAAACTGGATGTGGTGCTCAGGGACATGATTTAGCGGAGGGCTGTTAGTTAGGGTAGTTTGGTTAGGTCATGGTTGGACTCGATCTTTAAAGTCTTTTCCAACCTGAGTGATTCTGTGATTCTATGATTCTAGTTGGCATGCTTGTTCTCTGTGTTTTGCCCTCTCTTCAGTTGTTAATCAGCCAGTATCCTCTTAGCTGAAGAACTCCTGATGTGCTCAGTTTTACTTTTAGATTACCTTTTCTAGACCTCTGGAAGATAACATTTCCTTCTGAACTCTTTGAGTTCATAGTCTTTAAGTAGAGCACCATCTGTGAAAATGGAGCTGTGGCCATACCAACAAGTCAGGTGAAAGTATTAGTTCGTACTCAAGGCCGTACTTAGAAATCCAGTCTGTTGTCTTTTATGCAAGAGTATGCTTGCCAGTCACTTTTCAATCTCTTGGTAATTCTCACCACCAAAATTCAATACTGAACAATGGCTGAGTATTGTTTCCCCTCCTGTATTTTCTCAGTTGATCATTCTTAGCTAAACATACATTGGTTAGCTGCATCTCAGTTTCTTGTAGATCATGTCTTCAATTTGGTATGATTATTCTGAATTCAAATCTCTTTTCTCATTTCTAACTTGTAGCTCTCCTAGGCTGGTGTCATATTCAGATTCACAAATATACCTGTCAACTAAGCTGTTAAGAAAGCAATAAATATCTAGCAGATTGGACTAGGAATCTTTTTTAAAAATGTCTTCCCATTTATCAATGAATTTGTCATAATGATACTCTGATTATGTTGTTGTAGCCTATTTTTAAAACAACAGTGTTTCATTTTATAGATGCTATAGGAGTGCGTAAATACAGCTGTTACCATCTGTTACCAACTACTGTAAAACCCAAAGCAGTAGTTTGTACTTCAGCTTCTAGGTTTTCCTGTAGTTGCTGTAGTTTTCAAGAAAATAAAGTGTTCTTGATGTTTCCAGTTTAGAAGTTCTTTTTAATGCAATAGTTTTTCATTGAACAACCAGATACCTCCTTGTGGCTGTCAGGTCATTGTGTGGAGATTGTACATTGCAATCATATAATTTCTATTATTTGTAATTAAAATGCTGTTCACAAATTTGATGAAAATTACCAATGTAATATAAGTACTAGTTTGACTTCTTGTTTTCTGACAGTTATTTATGGTAGGTGGATTTAATCAGCAAACAATGGCAAATAACATTCCATATTACAGACGTGCTTAACTGAGATGTTTTACATGAATTCTAATGGTCATGCAAGGGCAATGTTTGTACACATTTATGAAACAGTAGAGGAAAACTATAAACACTAGTAAAAATCGACTGTCTGATAGGGGTGTATGTCCTTGAAAGTCTTGGTGGTCTAAAGTTTCCTAATAAATTTCCATTGTATTAAATTTGGTCTTAAATTTACCTGTTTTCTGTGGCTTAGATTTAACAAAACAATACTGAACATCTAATTATCTTTTTTTCCACTCCAGTGAAGAGGCAAACTATGATGTTCCAAATTAATATATTTGTCAATAGTGCTGTTGATTTAAGTCACGCAACTATCAGCTTCTGAAATTGGACAATTAGTTTTCTGAACTGCAGCGTATGTAAATTATACAGAAATACCCAAATAAATTATTTATTTGTGGTTGTGCAGTAAGCAGCCAGTACTTTCTTTGTTATACATTTGTTATTAACAGTTCTAAAAACTTCATAATACTATTTCTGTAGAAAATAAACATAAGCTGTCTTCTACAGGTTTATGAGAGTTGGTCTACAGAATAGTATCGTAAAAATTATTGGTAATAACATATTCCTCTGTGTAGTAGAAAAGTGATATTTTTTTAGAATAGGACAATCTCGAGTGCATACGCCTTCCCCCCCAAAAAAACCAAACAAAAACAAAACAAAACAAAAAACAACATTACTTGTGATTAAGAGTGCTAAAGTCAGAACTTTATTTGATTTCAGAAACAAAGAAATTCTTTGAATAAATATCTGGCTTTTTTTCCAAAATAAAGTTTCTCTGTGAATGAGTGTAAATTACTTTGCTTAATTATTTGTGAATGATGATGTGAAAATTTGTAGAACAGTACTATTTCTCTTGCTTAATTGTTTTAAATACAGCTTTCCTCTGGGATATGAAATTTTGCATGAAGGTTTTTGCTATAAGCTTCAAAGAACCCCTTATTTTTCACAGAGAAACACAGGCATGCAAACAAATTGTACCCAGTATTTTCCTGGCACCATTTTCACAAACCTGCAGATATTTGACTTACATAATGAAAGAGAACTGAAATGGAAAAACGTGCCTGATTATATATGTGTTGCTGGAATCTCCCACTCCACTGTTGAA